CCTTTGACCCCTGCCCCCCATTTCCACCCCACACCATTTCTGCCCCCTCCCCCCCTGCCCAAAGCTGTGGCTTTGGGTTCCTACCTCCCATCTCTCCCCCACTTGCCCATCCCCCTCTCACCCCTCTGTCACTGCCAGCAGGCTCCATCCCCATTGCAGCCTGGGGCATGGAGTACAGCCCCCACCCAGCCCCAAAGCAGCAATACAGAGCCAGCAGCACTGCTAGGGTGCTGGGCTGGGGCTGTGGTCCATGCTGCAGGATGCAGTGGGGACCAAGCCTGATGATGCCAGAGCAAATGTAAGTGGGAGATGGGAGGGCGCAAGGAGGTACATGTGGCATGGTGGGGGTGGAGACAGGGACCCAAGGATGCTGACGGGAGAGGCAGGGGATGCAGAGGCAGCAGCGGGGCAGGCAGCAACTGCGGCTGCCACCCCAACCTGGGGTTGGGGCTGGAGCTGCAACAGCCATCTGCCCATTGCCACCTTGTACTTGATTCCAAGAAGCAATGCTTTTCCCCTCCTGTTAAATGGAGGGAAAAAAATTCGTCTTGGAATCAAGTATATAGGGTAGTTAGAAAAGTCAACTGGACTGAGCTTATTAGAGACTGGAATATGGGAGGGGCTTGGAGCTTCTGCAAGTCAAAAATATGCAAACTATCTAGATCTTGTATCCCAAGTAACAGGGAAATTATTTGTAGGGAAGGGCTCATGACAAAAGTGGATAAAGAACCATTTCCCAAAGATACTAAGAGTAAGCAGAAACCCTGTAAAAATGGAAAAAGGGACTGATCAGTAAACAAAGCTGTGTGTAAGACGTCAGGAAGTGTTTGAGAGAAAGTGAGAACTGCCTAAATTTAAACTGAGATAGACCTTGCAAAGGATATTAAAACACCTAGCAAAAAGTTCTTCAGCCATAAATTAAAAACAAGCAAACAAGGAAAGAAGATGTGAAGGTAGGGCTAGTGTGCAGTAAAGATGAGAAAGAGATTAAAGATAATCTTGGTATGTCCCCAAAATAGAATGAATATAGAACCATAGTCTTCAGTATGTCTGATGACAGTGAGCATGAGGAGCAGGGGGTTGGGAGGAAAGAAGCTAATGGGAACAAGAGTATGAAAATGGATGTCCTCAACTAGGATGAATGGAATAAGCTCCTGTCCAGAATTCTGAGAGCTGTTGCAAAGGAGAATAGCAAAGATTTTTATTTTTAATCAGTCAAACTGGAAGTGGTGCCTTGTGCCTGCTGCTCCTTCCACAGATACTTCCAACCCCATTATTCTATGTATTCTGTCTAACATGTCTGTGTCCCACCTCAAAGAGTTGCACCGAGTGGTGCTGCCTGTCTGTTCTTCATGCACTTATTGTCATTTTTCCAGTGCTTGCATGGAAGGAATGTTCCTGTTTTGGTTATGACCCATCTCATTATTTTGCTTTCCTTGCAGCACAGAGGAAGTTCATGGATTCTTTCAGAAAAACAATGTCATGTACCTGGCCTTGATCTTTGAGGAGAACGACTCCTTTGTGGGCAGAGAGGTGATGTTTTATTGTAATGTCTATGTTGCTGAAGCCTCTGCAGTAATGGGTGGAATTCCCCTGCCCCTTGTGCTTGGCACTGTCAGCACATGTAAAGAGAGGACAGTCCTTTTCCCAAAGGTTTCTTCCAAGCAGTGTGTCCAGAGGAGTAAGTTCCCCTTCCACCACTGCACCACTGCAGAGTTTAATTGACATTGATGCATAATATTAGTGTTGAACCCTTCTTTATGCCCCTTCTAGTGTCCAAAGATATTACGTGCTATTCGCTGAAGTGGAGAGTCTGAGACCCAAGGAACTGCTAGTTTTACCATTTTACAATTAAAACCTACAAAGTTTTACAATTAAACCTATCCCTACCCCAACTTGGGCCAGTCCCTTACTTCCTGTGTGGCTCTAGTAGTTCAATACTTTTCTACCTCTGAGGGATACTGGAAAGGTCAGGAAATGTTTGGACACTGCCTGGTTGTACTGGGGTTGAGTTGTCCTGCTGGCCTGGAGAAGCTATGGGATTCCTGCTACACTCCATATGGTCAGCTCTACCCACATGGGAAACCTGTTGTGATGGGTCTGGTCCCTGGGATGTCCTGTTCCATGAGTAGCCTGACCTGGGAGCATCTTGTAATAATGCAGGTGATCCTGGACATGCAGCAGTATGAGAACATTGCTGTCAGGAGAGTCCTGAGCAGTGAGAAGAAGCTGGTGGAGGAGTACAATGTGACTACCTTCCCTTCTGCCTACCTGCTTAGCAGCAATGGCTCCTCTGCCATCAAAGTGTGAGTCCTTCCCTGCCAATTCCCAGTCTGGAAATAGGCAGCCTCTGTTGTTAGCTTGTTAAGGCTTCGCCTGTACTGTGCCCAGAAACTGCGGGTATGAATCTTGGCAATGCTGGATTGATGATGGACAGGCTGCCTGTGCTGGGACAGGGGGTGTGACTCTCAGCCCCTGTGGGAGGCTCCCAGGGCACTTATATAGTGCCTGAACAGTGATGTCCAGCAGGAGTTCTGTGGAGGCCTTTAGACTTTGATAGAGACCATCTTCTCTGCAGAACTTTTTAAACCTATTTTACAGAGCTTAACATATAATCCTGCCCTGACCAGACAGCTGTGAGCTGGTTTGAAAGAGAGGACATAATTGCTCTCTGCAGCTCCAGGGCTCTCTCCTACAGAGAGGAACGTGTTGGGAAGAGGTTTCCCTAGGGAGGGTGCAGGGAAGGGCCTGGTGTCATCTTGACTTGCTATCAGATGGCAGGGCAGGTTTCCCAGCTGGGAAGTGTGGAATTTGTAAACCTCAGCCTGGTTTGCATGGCCTGGGGGGAGGAGTGGGTAGAAGTAGGGGTGGGGTGCTCCCGAAGGTGCAAGCTTGACCCAAGATCATACTCATTGTTTCCTAGCCACAGAGCTGGGGGGGTGGGGTGGGGGGGGGGGGGAATTACTTGTGACTAAGCCGCCTGTCCATCATGTGATTGCAGGCAAGCATTAAGTGATGAAAGCAGAATGAAAACTCACTGGCTGCTTGCTGCCAACTCTCTGGGGCTTTCAGGCTGCTGGCTGTCCCACTGCCCAACAGATTTTCTCATCCTGGCAGGTTTTATTGGGATTCCTACTCCCTGGTCCACCAGCCTGGCCAAGATGTTCCAAGAAATGTCCCCCATCAAGCCTGCACAGCCCCTTGAGTGCATAAGCTGGGGTTGGAGATGACTGGTGGGCAGGACTGTGTTTCCCCTATACCAGTCTCTATGCATCCCAGGCCTCAGCTCCTTGGATAAAAGGAAGGTGTTGATATAAAGGGGGTAAAGCTGACCCCTCCAGAGCTGAATGGGAGTTGCCCCAAAGGACAGAGGAAGGAACAACTTTGCAAGGAGCTGAGTCCAGATTTTAGCTTTACTTGAGCTTCTGTATCTTCTGCCTGCTTCCTTGCAGCACTTTGGGAGGAAGAAGGCACTCCTGGTCCAGAGTGAGGAAGGGGAGGCTTTTAAAATGCTTCCTAGGCACCTCTTCCATCCCCTGCTAGGGAGCTCTAGGCAGCACTTGGCATTTTCCCTCTGCTACTAGAGGCAGCAAAGCTCTTCCCAGAAACTCAGGGTGTAAGGAGGCTGCCTGCAGGAACTAGAGGTGAGGGGGGTTAGCTGGGACTGGTAGGTGCATGGGGAGAGGGTGGGCATTGCATGAGTGTGTGGTACAGCCTCCTGTACACTCCGGGAGAGGAGTCTCCTCTTCTTTCAGGCTGGATATCTCACATGTGGCTGAGGCTGGGGGTGTGGCAGCTGGGGCTCTGTCAGGGTGGAGAGGAGACTGCCTCTCCATGCTTTGTCTTTACCTCTTTAACAGGCAAGGGGAGACACGATCCTCCTACACCTCCTTTCTGAGGGACCGATCTGGCTTTAATAAGAAGACTCTAACGTTAAAAGTCCAGAATGAAATAACACCTCCTCCTTCAAGGGTGCCAGGTGCAGAGGACCCAACAGAAGCAACCCCTTGGAAGTACACTGACAGGTAAGAAATGCTCTCCCTTGCTCTTCTGTCTGCCCATATTTTTTCCCTAATCAGTCAGAGTGCATTATGGTGCTACCATCATGATGGACTTGAGCAGCTGATTGTGGGCATTGGAACACCCTCACACCATGCAGGGGGCTTTATGCCCCAAGTAAGAAAACTGAGGTTGCCCTGCCTAGGGCTGAATGGAGAAGTTTGAGTTAGTGCAACCTCCATCCTGAGGGGTAAGAATAGATTGCAGTGATCCAGCAGCCCAGGACTGGCGGCTATGAAGAAACTTCTCCTTCTTGCAAGCAGGTCCCGTTGGGGCAAGGCCAAGATAGAGAACTGAGGGAAGTGTGGGCAGACTCACAAGGTTTTCAATGCTCCACTACTTCTTTCTCAAGATCCAAACTGTACATGGCTGACCTGGAATCTGTGTTGCACTGCTCCCTGCGAGTGAATAAGGCCAAATTCCCTGTCCTGAAGGAAGAGCAGCTGGAGACCCTGAAGCGCTATGTAGCAGTATTGGCCAAGGTGAGCACTAAGGGTGACATTTCCATCTTTCAGTACCTTTACATCATGACAGGATGGTTTTGTAAATGGGATGCTGCCCTTCAAACCAAAATCATAGGCCTGTTGCAGAAATTCCTTGGTGAGGTTCTCTGTTTCATGGGAGGTCAGAGTATATGATCATGATTGTTTTTTGTGGCCTTGAAAAACTGTGCATCTAAATATAGGTCACAAGTGCAGTGAGTCATATGTTCTCAGCTTAGGCCTTAGTTACTTTTACATCTTAACCAACTGCCCTATTACTAACAAGTGAAGCTGACCAGCTCTGCACGTGAAAGGTCTAGGGCTGAGACCAGCTGGTGATGCTGTAGGTCAGGATCCAAATTCACTGGAAGAGCTGCATGAGAAGGGCAAGGCTAGAATAACAAGGACTGGTGCAGGTCAGGACTGAGGTGCCTTGGCATAGCTGTGGTGGATTTCCTTAACTCCTCCTCTTCACACTGTTAGGCCTTAGCTAATGCTGTCAATCTCTCACTATCTGGAACACTGAGGGATTGTTTAGATCAGAACCATCCAAATCCTAAGGGGCCAGAAGACACATCAGTGGGGGCCATAGGCCCTGGGTGCCTTATGCCTGCCCACCCTGCTGCACAGAGCACCTGCTGCTCTCTGTGCCTACCTGCTGTACTGTACTCCATACTGCTTCTGCTCCCTGCCTCCCCTCCCCGCTGCTGCTGCTCTCTGCACTCTCCACTGCACTGCGTGCCCTGCCACTTCTGCTCCCCGCACCTCCTCACTGCACCTCATGTCCTGCTAATTCTGCTCCACTCACCTCCAGCTACTGCTCCCTGTGTGCACCCTGCTGCTGCTCCCTGTGCCTTCCTGCTGCTCCCCACATCTGCTCCCCACTCACCCTTAGGTCTTTGACTGTGAGCTTTGCCTTCTGCACCACCAGGCTCACTTTAGGGTTGTTGGTTGTACCTGTGTTGGTCTAAGGACATAGGCAGACAAGATTATTTGGGTAGATGTGATCAACAGACTCTCCTTATACCTGAAGAAGGGTGTTTGTGCCCAAAAGCTTGCAAAGAACAGTTTTTCCAACTGTTTAAATGGTCTAATAAAAGATATTACATCTACCCAAAGAACCTTGTCTGCCTACATCCCACCTTACTGCTTTCTCCAAAAGACAGCAGACTGCCTTTCCCAATCAGAAATTAAGGGAATGTGGAGGGGTTGCATTGCTCATCCCATTCTAGAGCCTTACAGGAAGTCTGTTTTGGGAAATGCCTGTGGTAGTGTCCAACAGCTGTAGCAATGCTTGCTTCCAATTAGGGAACACAGCGCTTTAGAAAGAATCAATGGAGGATCCGAGATGGAAATAGCACAAGGGACCAAGCTCACCAAATGCACCCTTATGCCCAGCGAAGTTCATAGAACTTGGGTTGCTGGCAGGGGGCAGGAGTGGTTGCTTTGCAGTCTCCTCTTGTTTTACCTTGATGCCAGTAATTGGATGTTGGGTACCGGCCTGTTTCTAGTCTGGAAATAACTGGTGCTGAGCACTGAACTGTGGTGTTTCAGATGTTGAACACTAGACAGAGCAGTACCCCCAAGATCCCAATCTTCTAGCCAGTTAGAGCAACTTAATCAGCTCTGATCCAAAGAACTTGCCTGCTATTCTGTGTCCCTTAGCTCTGACTTTAAGTATTGTCTCTCCACAGCCCCTGGCAGACATGTAAGTAAAGGTGCAATGGGATCTGATGCGAGATCGCCACAATCATGCTTCCTACCATGCCACATGTGCATGGCAGGAGGCATGATTGTGTGTTCAGACATCAGATCCCATCATGCCTTACTGTTGTGCCAGCAAGTAGGAAGCTCCCGCAGCTGGGAGCCCCATTACATGATCCAGGCTTCTAGCCACAGAGGCACACCAAGCCTACCTTCTTTTCCACCCTGCTGGGTTTCTGTCTTGCTGCCAGGAGCCAGGCACTAACCCAGCACCCTTAGTCCTCTCTTGGCTACTCATAAGATCCTCCTTATTCCCAGGGACTTGTTCACCAAGCTGACAAAGGGAGCTTTGCAGCAGTTTTGAAGGAACCCTTCTCTTTCCTGTGTTTTGAGTTTGAATGCTCTCTTTGGTTCAGAAGCCCTGGACATATAAAGCCCTGGGCTTCACCCCCTTCCAGTCACATCACCTTAGGCATCTTAACTGGGTCCAGAGGTTTCTCATTAATTCTGCAGCTCTGCCTCAGAACTCCCTGGAGTTCTTCACCCTATCCTATTGTTACTTGCCCCAGCTAAATGTCTTACAGTTTGTTACTGTCTTGGAGCTATAACTGCCAACCCCTTCTGCTGCCTACATGTTTGCAGCTTGCAGCCACATAATGCTGCCTTCACTCCTACTTAAATTAACAGGGACAAGAGGCTTCGTGTTCCACACGCCCTCTCCTTTCTAATGGTGCTCTGCAATGCTGGAAATACAGGGCAGAGTTGCCCACAGTCAGTAAATCTCAAGCAGGTTGCCAACCCAAGAATATTTTTTTCACTTCAAACTTTTTTACTAACAACCAAGTTTTTACTATGGTTGATGTTAAACCCCTAAATTTGAACCCAGTCTTTCTAACTGGGGCCTGGCATCAGGGCAGGACCTGGCAGATGAGTTACATTTATGTAATGTAAAACATTTATGAACAAAAAACACGAGTCAGTAAAAAAGTTTGGATGTCAGTAAAAAGTTTGCAGATTGTCAAAAACAAAACAAAACTTGGGTTAGCAACCCGGATTCAGAGTGGGTTCTAGTACATCATTTACTGGCTAAAAAAAATCAATTCTTCCCTCCACACTAAGGCATCCTTAGCTTAAATGCCTCCTGGGCCCCTGGCACACGTTACACTTAAGACATGATTAACTGATTAATCACATCTAAAGTTATTACCCAGTCACACATTAATTCAGTAAAGTACACAATAAAAAAGGAATAAGTCACAAAGTTATTGGACAAAAACACTGTAGCTAGTTTCTGTCATGTTAATTGAACACGTGGCCAGGCTGAGGTTCCCAGCTCTGGGTTGCACCCTCATGGGTGGGAGTCCCATCAGCTGAGGGGCTCCCAGTCATGGGGGTACATCCAACAGCCGGGGACCCCAGCCTGACCACAGAGAAAACAGGAAAGTGGGTAGAGCCTCTGGAAAAGGCAAACCTCCAGACTATAGATGAAGGTGGGAAGAGCCTTAGAGAGAGGCCAAACCCAGGTTCCAGCTAAGCAGTGATATGTCAGCTGTGAGGCATGGGGTGGCTAGTAAGATGTGAGTGGAGGCCACGAGGGGTGCCCTGAGAACTGCTGGAGGGTGCTGCATTAGTAAAATAGATGGTAGCTGATAGTAGGCATGAGCCCAGAGATTACCTTAGAGATAGGGGCAGGGGCTCAGGGAGAAATGAGGCAGGGCCTGGGGCCAAGTGAGCTTTGAGGTAGGGCTATGGGAAAGGGCCCAGTGCATCATGCTGAGAGGAATCTAGGCCCTGGCAATAATATGATGGGGAGGCACCAAAAAAGGGATACTTTGGTTTCTAAAAGCAACCTCCCAAAACCATTACACCATTTTACACCAAACGCATGGCAGGTGGGGAAACAGGAGGTCCTATGGGAGGTGGAGAGCACAGCAGGAGGATCTAATCACCAAGGGGCATGAGATTATAGGGTTGGAGCCCAAAGCATACTACAGGTGATTACAATTCTCCAGCAGAAATGTCAAGATCAGCAATTAATGGCAATCCCCCTATTTTGGGTGGTCAAGTCCATTTCCCTGCATTTCTTAATCGTATAGCATACCAGGGTGCCCACGTAGAATAGATAAGTAACAGCCAAATGCTCTCTGCCTCTTCTTTCATTCATTCTTTTCCTCTTTGCTCACCTGCTGTTTTTGTCCTTCAGCCCTGCCTGTCTCCGTGTGTCTACCTCTGTGATGTGGTTCTCTCTTCCTGCTTTGTGTGGGTGTTTCACTTGCTTCTCCACTCCCTATAGTGCTTGCCATTTTAAAGTGCTGATACTCATCAGATTTGAGTTGACTTATTTCTGAAGTAGCTTTCTGTGTTCATCAGAGACTTTTTCAAGCTACAGTCAAGATTTGGCTCTTGGCCTGCAGGGCTGGTTTATTCACATGGGCAGCACCTTGAATACAAAGAGCCCTCCCAACATTAGCCTGCTTGGATCATGGTGGAAAGAGTCCTTCATAACCAGCTGGGCAGCCGGAGCTGTGGGTAGCTGTTAGTTCTCCCACTGCCACCGTCCCATCACCATTCCCATCCTGGGAGCAGCTGCAACTGTTGTAGCTGAGAGTTCATTAGAAACAGTGTCTCATGCTAATCCAAGGGTCTACACAGCATCTTGTGTTCACCTCTGTCACAACCTGAAGCAAGGCCACTGTCATTGACTATATTTCCTCTTCTCTTTGTGCTGCAGTACTTTCCTGAACATGACTCTCTCAATGAATTCCTGTACTCTCTGGACAACTCACTGAAGAACCTGAAAGAATCTAATATTTCTCACAGTGCCTTGGAGGACATCTTGAAGAAAAGTAATGTAAGGCCCTTGGAGAATGTTTTCTTTCAGTTCTGCAAAGGAGGATGGGGTGGGGGAGAGAGGGTGGGGTTCACTCAGTTGTCTGAATCTTCTTATTGGTTTCAGTCTTCTGCTTTTTAATTCTGTTCCTCCTCCAGTTTATCCCTGGGGTTGTTTCCAGTAAATTCACCTCTGTCTCTTTCTCTGTCAGCCTCCAGCAGTGCTGAGAAAAAAAGCACGGTGGATGGGTTGCCAAGGCAGTAAACCTCACTATCGAGGGTACTCCTGCTCTGTCTGGGTCCTCTTTCATCTGCTGACAGTGCAAGCATCACGATATGGCAAGCAGGATGCAGGTACAAGACAAGCCATGTATTTGTATCCATCTTTGAGCCAGTGGCCAGCCTAGCTGCACAGAAAGTGGCATAGGAACCATCCTGTCCTAGGCAGGTCAAAGATCTGAAGCTATGGGGGCCTCAGAAAATACCAGACCTTACTAGGGAACTAGAAAGAAGAAAGACCAATTCTCATGGGGCCAAAGGCAGTACTGCCTTCTCCATTCAGCTATCCCCACCTATCATACATGGGAAGCATAATGCAGCTGGAAATTATAGCTCTTACACAATGCAGCTGTCCAGTGGGAGAGTTGTACCATGAGCAGTCATGAATTATAGAAAAATGTGTCTGGAAGGTGCCTCAGGAAGTCATCTAGTTCCATCCCCTGCTCAAGGCAGGATCATCCTTGTCTAAACCATCTTACCCAAGTGTTTGTGTAGCCTGCACTTAGAATTTTCATTATTGGCAGTTTTTACAGCCTCAGGGCCTTGTTACACATTCATTTTAGGTGGCTCCTGAAGTTCTTCACCTCTGGATTGTCCTCCCATTAACACTTGAAACTAGTTTTAAGCACACTTTAGGCAACTTAAAGTTACACCACTCCCAGGCAGGTTTATCTCTGATCTGTGTTATCATGGGTGACTGGTGTCTCCTGATTCTGGGGAGCACCAGCCACTGATCACCAGCTGTGGGGTGGGGGGGAAGGTCCCCCACCGGCTGATCGCCAAGCCAGCACTTCTGGTTTTGCCACTGGCACTTTTCTTGCCTCAGAGGGGGCACACCAGCACTTCTCTTGCCGCAGGTGGGGCACGCTGGCGCTTCTCCTGGTGTCCCCACTTCTGGGGTCCAATCTCAGGGGGGGCACGTGCCTCCCCATGCCCCCCATGTGTCACCTATGCATGTTACACAGCTCATGTTCCATTAATGTATGGCCACTCTCCACAGATGAGCCATCCAAGTGGCAGTCCTCCAGCATCCCAGAATGCAGTGTTCCCTCCCCTCCCCACCCATCCTGTTCTTTGTGGACAAGCTTCCACCCCCTGAACTCTACTGCCCAGGGGGTGGTTTTGAAATCAAGCCAACTCCTGCCCCTGGGGGATGTGACCTTCCCACCCCCCGGGGTGTAACCTGGTTCAAATAGCTTGTAGAGCACATGCCAGCTTGCCAGGTCGCAGGGCACGGACAGGCCCAGGAGTGGGGTTGAGGTGGAGAGGGGGAACAAGATAGGGGGCTGGATCAAGTCCCCATGGTCTGGAGCTTCCTTCCTCAGGGTATGGCAGTAGTTTCCTCAAAAGTACCTTCCCTCACTGCTCCCACCTCCCAGCTACTACAGGAAGCATGAACAGCACCCTCTCCACCCCCCCTTACACACACCAGTCCCAAATCCCAGTTTATTAAAAGGTGAGACCTTATTTAATTTCCTTCCTCTTCATTTTTTTTAAATTCTCTCTCTCTCTCTTTTTACTACATTTTATTCTCTCCTTTAGTGGGTGACTTCCTTCATTTCACCACTCTTCCTCCACCCCCAGTTCCTTTCCACCTCCCATTTCATTACCCACACCCATCCCATTACCTCTGTGCCTCCCAGCTTCATGTTCTCGTACCCCCCAACCCCTCTCTCATACCCCACCTAGAGCAGGCATAGAAGCCTGTCCTTCACTCACCAGCCCTGTAGTGGTAACTCACAGCTGTAGCTCCTAGTCAGACCCCTGCTCGCCAACCCTCTAGTGGCAAGTCACCACTGCAGGTGAGGAACAGTCAGAGAAGCTTTTTAGCCATAGGATGCAACTGCTCCAAACTCAAGCTAGGACTACCACTATTAAACATTTAAGCAGCATAAAAATGCAGTGTGAACCACACCTTTAGTTAGAAAGTTCTTGCTAATGTCTAACCTAAATCTCCCTCAGTCTAAAATCATTACTTCTTACCCTGTTCCCTGTAGTCACACAGAGCAGTTTGTCACTACCCTCTTTAGAAGATATCTTGAGGTATTTGACTATTATTGAATCCCCACCTTCATCTTTTTTGCAGACTAAATAACCCTAGTACTTCCAGCCTTTCCATTTAGTCTGTGTCACTGGGGGCATTTCTTATACCAAACCTTCATGTCTTGATGGCACAGTCAGCAAGGCTTGGGTTGCTGTACTGTACCATGGTGAATCATGACAGCCCTACTTCATGGATGGAACTGTGTGGTGCAGGGTTCCCAAATGGCAGGAGATGCCTTGATTGTCTGACTGACTCTAGGCTGTGCCTGCTCTGGGGGATGTTTGGAATCTCCTGGGCCCACCTAGCCTCAGAGAGCTGGCAGGCTGCCATGAGGAGATGAAGGATCTTGCTCCATAGGGTGCAGGGCAGCGCTGGGGTAGTGGCTGTTGGGGTGCCACGGTGAATGCAGTGGTGTTGTGTCTTTGAGATGCAAGGTATCCCTTGCTTTGTGTGCTGTCATACCTCTTTCTCTAGATCCATTAGAGGTCCTTCAAACTATGCGAGGTTTCATGCATCACTTCTACTACTGCAGAAGTTGCTCAGAGCACTTTGAAGGAATGGCAAAAAAATCCATGGACCAAGTGAAGAGCAGAGATGAGGCCATCCTCTGGCTTTGGGAGAGACACAACACAGTCAACATGCGGGTGAAAAGTAAGGATTCCACCACTGGGACTGGCCACAGCCTGGTGGCAAAAAAGCAGCAGCTCCTTTAACTCTCTATCTGCTGGCTGCCCTACCACCTGCCTCAAGCCAGGTCTGCTGTATCTGATCTTGACCCTTGCCCCTAGCAGTGAGAAAGGTGCAGAATTACTAGGTGTTCAGTGGTTTAAGTCAGTGCCTGGACCTCATGCCCAATTTGCCCACTCCAAGTTATGCTATTAGCCACTGGACTGCTTTCCACACTGCTTGGTGAGGGGGGCACCTGGCAGTAGCGAGGCAAGAGAACAAGCTAAGGCTGGAGGGCTTTGATATGCTAGAGGTTGAATAGGGAAGCACTGAGGCATCTCTGAGATTCCCAAACTCCTGCCAGGTGGGAGGCAAGGTGGGAGACTGAGTGCTCTGGATACTGCATTGGGCCAGGCCACAGCTGCAAAGCTTGCTGGGAGTGACTCTGACACTCTTTTTTGTTCTGATTTGTTCAGACCAGTCAAACGAAGACCCCAAATTCCCAAAGACACTTTGGCCTCCCTCAAACTTGTGCCCCTTGTGTCACAACAATCTCAGTGAATCTCCATGGAATAAGACGGAAGTCCTGAGCTTCCTCCAGAGGCATTACTCACCGACCAACATTGAGAACGATGAGTTGACCAGGCACAGGCGGGAAGTGGATGGGGAAGCTTACATGAAGGACAAGGACCATGGGCTACTAGGGGACAAGGGTGAAGAGAGAGGATGGAACAGAAGTGAGCAGAAAGAAGGAGAAGAAAGGAAGGCAGAGCAGGTGGACATAGTGGTGAAGAGAGAGGCTAGTGGTCTGAAAAGGCAGACCCTAAAGGCTGCTGTCTTGGCAACCAAGAAGAAGCAGTGGCTGAACAAGAGGGACACCATATTGCTGTCAAGGGCAGATGATGGTAGTCCAAGCAGCATATCGGCATGCTGAAGGAAGGAGGAGGTGATGGCCTGAGGAAGAGCCAGTGGTTCTGCATGCTAGGACTGGGCTTCTCCCACCTAGACATATGCCTGTGCATTGTCCTGTACTTCTCCTCCATGTGCCTGCTGGGACATATACACCTTCTTCCACATATGGCTGAGGTCTAGCAAGGGCCACCCTGGTTTCCCCATGGCATGAGGTCTGTGAGAGGAGAGCAGCTTAAAATTAAATCTGAATTTAATACAAAATATGACTCTGGAAGCATTCAAATAAAAAATAAATACACTAAGTCCACAAGCCTCTATAAAAATCTTTTGAGATACAGTAGGTGGTGTGCTTTTTATACAGAAAAAAACAGGGCATGACACATTTCAGTTTTGAAGTTTAGCTATGTATATTGGCTCAAAAAAATCATGTACTGCATTAACGGTTTGAGCCTTTAGGGGGGGCTGAAAAAAATCTCTCCACCATTTTCTAAAACACTGATAATGAAAAAGGAATAATTTAAAAATTGTAATCTGTATAATTGTTTAAATAAATCTAGATATTTATAGCCTTATAGGTAGCAAGAATATGTAAAATCCTAGTGTAAAGGTCCTATTCCATTGTAAAGTTGCATGTTGTAATTATATCAACCAATGATAATGCTCCTTTCTTTAGAAAATAGCTGCAGTACCATGGGAAAGTTGATTATGATGAATAATTTAAATGGCAGGATTTCACCATCACTGAGTTGCAGTTCAGTCCTCCCTGTGACCCGGGAGAGAGTGGTGAGGAAGGCCCATCACAGGCCACGTGTTAACTGTTCTTTCTGTAGGTCTGTGTCTGAAGAAGCAGGGAAGTTCCTGAGTTTTCAGTTGGATTGCCCTGGCAATAGGCATGACTGGAAGGTTTCTGGGTTTGGCTGCCGCTGCTGCTGAGAATATGGAGGTGAACAGAAATGGCATGGTCTTCAGAGACCCAGAACCCTTAGCAGCTGCCAACAGCATCTCTGAGAGATTCACTGGAGCTGCCATAGGAATAGTGCACTGATTCTCAACCAGGGTACCAGAGCACCCTAAGATGCCTTGAGAGCCTTTCAAGGATGCTGTGGGGAGGCACACAATACTAGCATTGATAGGTATGCAAACATGATTCACAAGATAAACCCAGAGATTTCAAATAGCATTCAAACCTGTTGCAGTCTTTTGGAGTTCTTTGCACCAGAAGAATTGCTTTATTATTTTTCTATTGTCACAAAATAAATGAAAACTAAGAGCAGGCATTTTCTGAGGTGAACCTCAAGTCTATCAAGGAGTGCCTCAAATCTGAAAAGTTAGCAAACCACTGGGAGAGAGCGTGAGTGTGAGAGTATGTGTGTATGTGGGGCAGCTGATGTTGTGAACTGTGAAGAAGGAGAGAGCTCTAGCTTCTTCCTGTTCTTTCTGAGCTGAGGCTGAGAGCAGTGAGGCCATGACCGGTGCTGTTTATTTGGACGAAGAGATACTGGGGAAATCTCGCAAACAGTCGGAAAGTCACTTGAGCTAAACCTGTTTTAAGAGGTGTAGGTTGTAGCCATGTTGGTCTCAGGACATAGGCAGACAAGGTTCTTTGGGTGAATATATCTTTTATTAGACCAACTTAAATAGGAAAAAAATTTTTAGTAAACCCAAAAGCTTGCTAAAAATTTTTTTCCCAACATTTAAGTTGGTCTAATAAAAGATATCATATTCACCCAAAGAACCTTGTAAACCTATTTTAAATCACGTGAGATCCGCTGCTGAGAGGGTGGTTCAGCTTGCTGTTGCTGAGCTGGTTTCAAGACCTCTTTGGCAAATATTAGGTCTGCACACTGCAGCTCCACCCACACTCTGCCTCTGGAAGCACTGACTTAAAAGCAGGTAGAAATGTGGTAGCCTGGCCATGGGTTGGAGCTATTCATTCTGTAGCTCCTATGCCTGTATGGTGGTTGAGGGTGTTCTTCCCATCCTTCCCTTCAGTGTCTGGGCCTGCTGATTGCATTTTGTTGGGTGAGATTCATAGACTATAAGCTGTGGCTGTGTCTGTAAGGTTTACCAGTGCACCACCAATTTAATAGTTTACTACTGAAAGATGTGCTGCCAGACTAGTTTTAACCTGAGAGTTGTGAGGAGACAGGGCTTTTCCAAGAAACCCATGTTCCCAACATGGTCCTTAAGGAGCATATCCAGGAGCAGACCCAGAGGGTGCAGTGATGAGGTTGCACACCTGTTTCAGACCACATTGTGGGGCAGAAGCAAAGGACTTAAGTTTCCAAATCAAGTAAGAATCCTGTGTCCCCCCACAAGACTTTCCATCACTTCTGTGCTTGGTGGCAGGTCCCCTCCTCTCCCCTCCCATTTCCCCTTCCCCTAGTCACTGCTGCCACTGCCCCAGGCTGACCAGAGGTGGGTGGGAGTTCCACAGCTGTTCCTGCCCCCACCCCAACTATGCAGGGAACCTGGGATAACAGCAGCAGTGGTAGAGATGGGTGGGTTCCTCCTTCCAACTCAACCCCATCAGGTGTTTCTAGCAATCTTGGGAGCAGGCTTAAGGAGGAGGGACCCACCTGCTGCCAGTGCTGCTGCTGTCCCTGGCTGAGCCTGGCTCCCTGCAGAGCCTGGCCAGAGTACAGCAAGCATGCAAGGGGGAAGGGAGGGAGTACCAAGAGTCTGGGGGAGATTTTTACCTGATTTGGGGACTTAGCAGCCCCTAGCTGCTGCTCCAGGGGCCTCCATCTGTACATCCTAGTCCAGTAGGGGAGCCGATAGTGAGGGTGAAGCCATCTCTGCAGAACTAGCTGCTGCCCCACTCCTTTATAAAATCCTGGATTCAGCCATGGGCATACCTTAAACTTACCCTGCTAGACATTCATGTTCTCAAACACACTGCACAGTCTGGGGCACCACTGTGCTGCACTGGTTCTGCCTCCTGAACAAGAAGCCATATACCTGTCTCTGCCCCATGCTTCAGGCCCTCTTTTCTCTTCTTGGAGTGCTGAGAAAGGTGAAGCAAAACAAAGCAGAGGTAAGACCTTGAACCCTGTGCCCCTAGTTTTTTTAATTGAATTGTTCTCTTTCATTGTGGCTCTGAGAGCTTAGAAATAAACAGAAGCTGTTTCCTACAAGAGGGAAACTGCTCTAAAGCTGAAGGCTTTCTTATTAGAAATTAAGCCACTATGACTTCCAGATGGATTTGATCTATTTACTGGGCCAATATGAAGAATATCTAAGTCTGCATGTGTACAGTACAAACCATCATCAAACCCCTGAGAGTTGACCCCAAGAAACTGCCCCCCTCTCCTCTCTGTAATTGGGCTTCTTCCATGAGGAAGGAAACTATTTGATCTGCTGCCTAATCTTTTTTTTTTTCAGAAACCCCTACATTATCTGGGGTTTCCTCAGTAGCACCAGTCTCTTCTTGCAGGAACTCCTGAGCTTGAATTAGAACCCCAAGATGAAGTCTCCTCCCCCAGATTCTCTCCAAGGTGCTACGAGGATTGTATATCTTGAAGTTAGGCTGTCACTTATCTCCCCTCTAGGATATCACTGTTACATATAGTGAGAGATAAGTGGAATTTGAGAGAGAGCTGGAAAAGGAGTCTCATGACTGTATGGGTGCTGTTGGCATAAATTAAGAAACCTCTTTGTTAAAGGTACTCTTGACTTTGTGAACTGAACCCAAAATGCAACAGCTGTCCTCCCTTGAAGTGCTGCTTTTGGTTGCTGGAACTTGTGTGTTATCTTTTGAATGAGTGCACTCTCTGTCTCTGTCTGTCTCTCTATCTCATGTGCACATCCCCTTCAGATCTGTTTTGGGAGGCTCATTGTCCATGTCCTGCCAGAAATATTCTGTAGGTGGACACAAAATTCTGCTTCGCTTAACCTGCTCTTCTCCAGCTTTGTCCAAACCCAGCTTCATTCCCAGTGTCAGATGTGTGACATTCTACTCCTCTCTGTCACCAGAGTTCAGAAAGGGCTGAGCCTGCTACTCCTCAAGGAAGGGAAGTGACATGCTGTAGTGTCACTTGAGGTGGGTGAGTGGGCCAAGAACCTCAGGTGCTATCTTAGAGAGGGTGTGAGAATGGTGGCTGCCCAGTTAGTCTGAACCTCTTCGTCACCAGGGCAGGAGTCAGGACCAGAACCAGCAGGGCTTAAAGCAGGGTGTGTCAGGTGAGTCAGCCTCTAGGAGGTTGAGGGCATAGCTGCTCTCCTACTGCAGCTGCTGAGTTTTATTTTCTGTGGCCCCTGGCAGTAGAGGCAGCTATATGGGGGAGGCAGCCCCTATAGAGGCAGATTAATCCCTTGGCTGCTGGGTGCAATGATGCATCTTCCAGCAGCCTTGGCATCTGCCCCAGGAGCAGCATGAGGCTCCCTTGACCCAATTGCCCCCCAACCCCACCCCTGTTCTGCACTGGAGACATGTGGCTGGCTCTCTCAATACCTCCTCCTGCACCAGGTTTGGTCCAGGATGTAAATATGATGATGATGATGCCTCTGGCAACATGGCACAGACAAGCCACTTGAGTTGGGTGCACACCCAATGCTTTGGGCAGCTCTGTGCAGCCCTGTCATTGCAAATGACACCAGAGCACAAAGTGGAGCTTCAGGAGACACAAGCTGCTGAAGAAATCGTGGCAGCTGTCAGAAAGTACCTGAAGGTTTTCCATCCTTTTCGGAGGTAGGATTATTGCTGGCAGAAGGGAGAGTTCTGCCTCTGCAGAGGAGCTCTGGGTGTGGACACACTCAGCAATCATTGCCTTGTTGCTTCCTGGTATTTAAAGCCATAACACTTTCTCCTTGAATGTTAGCTGTATAGGGAACAGAGGGCTATGACAAAAGGGATGGTGGCTTCCCCCCCCACACCCCCTTTTTTTTTTTAAATAATAACCTTTTGAATTGTTGTTTTTGTTTTCCACCTATACAAGTGTGGCTCTTTGGGAGTGCTCCTGAAACCCCTGTTAACTGCCCTTTCATACGTGTTGGCAAAACAGACTTTTTCCAAACTCAGCAATGAGCAAAAGAGGGAGCCGTCAATTTGGGAAACCACAGGCTAAACAGTCAAAAATCTTAGAAGCAGGTTTGTTCCCAGGGTTTCTGTTACAGCCTGCTCTTGGGCCTTCATGTTGCTTTAGAATGATTAAATCACAACAAATTCTTGTACTGTAGCTTTTACCCCATCAGCAGGCAGAACCTCTGCACAGACTAGTATAATTCTTAATATATATTACTACCTAGTTTTGCCAGCATAGCAGTTCCGGGTAGAGATGTGAAAAGATCACAACCCCCTAGCCAACGACACCTATGCTATAAAAACTTTGGTGGAAATGCAGACAGGTCAACAGAAGGGGGCGTTTTTGAAGTTAGCTGCAGCATTTCTGCAAGTAAGAACTATGCCAGCAGGAAAACTCTGAATACTGGCAGACCATGCATCTCCATAAGGGGCTCTGCAGACATAGTTTAACCAACAGCAGAGACAGTAATATAGAAGGCAAGGAAGATTTTCTATAGACTATCCGAAGTAGTTTGTGTGCATGCTCTTTCTTTCTCTCTCACATACATA